CTTGATTCTCTTGTATTTTCCAAAAGCGGTTATAAATTCGCTGATAGTCAGTGTTTTGTGAAGACGAGGGTCTACGGTTTCCCAAAAATGAGGCCCATTGTGATTTCTGGCACCGACTTGTACACCTCATCTTTGGATATAAGCAGGCTGGCTGAGTTGACGTCTTTGCCCTCCCAGATTTTAAGTTTCAGGGAATCAGATACTAACTATATCTAGCTGAGGCAGCATTTGGCAGAAACGCCAAATTAGTAGCTCGAAGTGACCCACCTAATAATTGAGTCCCTTGAACTATAGCTCCGTCAATGGGGTAGAGTTTCTCGCCTTCTGTAGAGTGTATGATGATTTATCTCAGAAAGAAATGAAAATATATAAATAAAAGTTCTTACTCCAAAAATTATGCTGAGTATTTTGATCCCTTTGCCTTTCTGCTGAAAATAAGTAAGAATTTTATGTAACTGTACAATAATTAAAATGGAAATTTCATTTATTTTCTGTTGTTTAGCTATATCATGAACCTAAATGCTTTGAACATTTCCATAAAATCATGATCTATACAACTTTTTGTTTCATTTTAAAAGATTGTAAGCTGATCAGTCAGAAAATAATATAACAGCTACTAAATTCAATTGGTCTTGATATTTACTGATAATATAAAAAGCTCAGCATTTACTTCACTTACCTGTCTGGTGGTCTGGGGCTAGTAATCTCACTCCTTGATGGTCCTGGCACCATTTCCTCTATTCCTGACATTGCCCTGAAAATGAAAACAGATATTGAATTCTGCATTAATTTATATGTTCTGTGTAATGAAACATTCAGGCTCTTAACAGAACAGAGTAGATTGGAGGTTTTGTAGCGGACAGTATATAGGGAACTCGCTAGTGAGCTAGCTTTTCTGGTGATGCGGTAGAGTCTCCCTCTATTTCAGGCAAGTTAAGCAACGGCAAGCCTGTTTAACCCTTGGATGGGTGACTGCTTCACGTTACATTTTTAAAACTTTTAATACACTCATGGGTAAACTTTATCTTGACATTTAATATCAAATACATGTGGCATATATACATGTACTGTAATTGTATTAAATTTAGCATGTACAATATTTGGGAGAAAATTAATTTTCAAGAAGTTAGCGTAGATTTGATTTAGCACTGTCTGACTTTTCTAGTTATAAAAGTTAATGTACAAGACATTTAATGATGCACTTGTATTAGTGAACTCTGCTTTAAATTGGTCAAAATTGCTAAAAAGAGAACACCACTAAATGTAATATGTTTACAGTACATCAAGCTTACTGATCAGGCCCCGGGATCATGAAGCATCTTAAGCTTAAGTCAAAAAATGCGTTAGATGCTGAATTGTTTTAGCGGTCAAGCAGCCCAAAATAAAACTGCCCTCCGATTTTGTTTCATCAGTCTGCTGTTGTATGCAAATTATGAGTTTCCTTTAACAAGTTTTAAAGATTTTATAGATAATTGAAATTTTGACTTAAGTCCAAGTCTGTTTCATGATCCCGGGGCCTGATGTTTTTCCAGATTCTGCAGATGAAATGTCTGAAATGCCAGCTGGATGCTTGAACAGCTCTTTTCTGCGTTTGAGACCATGCATTAGGGTTGATGACGCTACCTTTCCTTCCTTATCATGGTAATATCTAAAGGGAACAAATGAACCTTAAAGTTTTCTGCTATAAAAAAATTTAAATATAGTATTCTTTACCATATCATTCCTCAAGATTATTAATTTAAACAGTCCTTTTGAGTTTCTGCTATAGGCCTATCTAAAATGCGAGAAAAAATTTTTATTGAAAATAGGTTGAAATCTTGTAAAACAACTTTAAAATTTCAAAATTTTACGACTAAAAAATAAAATCATGCACTAAAACATATATGTTGTTTTTCATTTAACAAGAAAAATGACAAAAACACAAAGCTGTGCCTTACATTTTCAGATTTGTTTTAAACTAAACTAAACTAAACTGTTTTAAACTCGGGCACGTCGAATAAATCGAAACGGAGAAAAATACATGTAGTTCCTTCTACCCCTACTAATGTTATTGTGATTTAAATTCAAGACACGTGGTTTAGGTTGATCTATTCAAAGGTTATAGGGTAGAACCGGTTTTATAAATAAAATTGGCAGTAAACATGATATTGCTATAGCCTGTTTCTTTTGAAAACATGTCCTGTAATAAATGTTTCCAGACCTTTCTGAAAAACTTTCATGATTTTCAACAGAAAAAGGGTGGCTAAAGGAGGGGGTGTTAAAATAACAATATATTTTATACTTTTCGGCGAAAATTAGAGCTCACTAGTGACCGATTCGCTGGTAAAAAATGTGCATTATCAGCTACACTGACAAACCTGTGTTTGCCTTTTATGGCTATTGTTATAAATGCGCACATAGGATCTTACCACGAGCAACTGACCAATCGTTGAATATTTAGCAACGTTTAAGCCAAATACATGTTCACATTTTACTTCGAACACGTAGTTCAGGTCAATCTACGATCATGTTAATGGACTGCAAAATAAAAAAAAAATGTTCTTACAAACAAAATACAAAGATAAGAAACTATGAAAGACGGGCGTTTTTAATTTGTTGTTAAATTGAAAAAAAAATGTTGAATAATATGTAGTTTGTGTCTAGTTCAGAACACCAGCGCTTCAAGGGTAAGGAAAATGAGCAACATCTCTTGTGCATTGAAATGGACAAAACTTTGTTTACGTTCGTGATCACGTGTTCGGCCAGGGAATTTACCTGGCAAATGTATTCACCGATAGTACAACAAAGGAATTAATACAGACGCTTTTGCAGTATAACTTTCAGAAACCTAGACTTCCGCCGTTTATTTAACAAATGAATTGTTTGTCATTATGAGCATGAAAATAATATTTTTATAAAATTGCTTTTCATTTTCCGCAAAATTTTCCTTTTTTCAAGCGTAAAAGTCCGGTTTTATTCGTAGTAACCCATAATGCAATACTCATTCAGCTGATTGGTCAGTTAAAATCATGCTGGTGCCTTATTTGCTAATCTGACGCCAAAAAATATAGTCCCGGTTCCCATCAGCCATGCAAAAATATTTGTCCCAAAAGAAATTTTAATTCATGACTGCAGAAAATTGTATTATAAAGAATACTTATCTAAGTTTGAATGAATGTAAAAGAGATCAATTGATTGAAGTACATTTCTATATTATCAGCTGATTCTAGGGTGGTGAAAACTGAAACGCAACATAACTTTTCTGTTTACCATGCCTCCACGTGCTAGTCACTTCCTAGCCACATTTCCGTAAATAATTTACCCATCTCGCTGAAGTCTAGCTAACTCTCGCCAGAGCTACTGCCAGAGCTACTCTGAACTCATCGGGTTTTATAATTTGCAGAACACCGAAAAATAAAAGGTTCCGAACACATTAGTAGGGGTGCCTTCGTTTGGCTGCCTACATAGAGATATCTAACCGCAAAAACACTTATACATAGTTGTTCTTTTGTAATTTGATAATGACTTCGCAGGTAGGTTAAGGTTACAACCAAATATTCTACTTGCCTATATGATATGACGTCATAGTAAGCTATATGACGTGAGGTTTAGAGATAACAATTTCTTATAATCGATTTCTAAGATTCATTTGAGGTCGTAAAAATTAATCAAAATATGCAGAGCCATAATATAAACGGAATTTTGTCGCTTCTGGGTCTCTGTAGTTATCACAGGGGTTAAATACCAAACACGTGACGTCATAACTTTTGATCATGCAGTAGCAGAGTGAAAGTGAAACGTAACGAGAATTCATGTAAACAAACACAAGAAATCGGAGTTAAAAGTATTTAGAATGAATATCATGTGTGATTCATGTGGGAACAAAGTTTATGAATAAGGTATGGTAATATACTTCTACAGTTTCTTCGTAAAATTAAACCAGGGGGGTGTTTACTTGCCGATCAGCCTTTCCTCTGTGGTTCGTAACAAATAAGATGCAAAAGTTCAACACTACGCCGCACACTTTGAAACTTAATTTTTGTTTCTATCTAAAGTTCTTATTCTATTGTTTTAGGAAAGTGCTGCTAGAATCGTATGGTTTACGGGAATTAATGCATTTTTTTTTCGTTGATATGAACCAAATGAAAAAATTTTGGGATGCTTTCGTCCGAAAGTGTAGAATAATTATTTCTGTGATAGGACAGTAGGATTCTAGCAGCACTTTTCATGGTACAGAGATGTTTTTACATTATTATTATTATTACAAATTGAAATTAATTATCCCCGGGGTAATGTTGAACTTTTCACTTTTTCATTAAGGCATATTTTCTAATAATAGACGTCACGTGGTGACGTCGTGGTGAAGTGCTTCTTGTAGTATAAGTTCCATTGAAGTCTATAGAATGCATAATCATAACAAAAGTTTTATCCTGGACTTTTCCGATAAATAAGTGTTACATAATTATAAAAAAGTGTTAATTCGCCGAATTCTGGTCCATGTGCTGCCTTAACATACCTGCGTTACTTCTTAAGCATGATTTCAAACATAAACAGGAAAAAAAAACTATGCCACAGACCTGTCAAGTAAGAAACCCGCAACTTCATGGTTGTACATCAACTTTAACTCGTCCTTTACACGGTTCCACCTCTCAACATGATCTACGATAAAAATCCTTTCTTTGCCTCTTTCTCTATCCATCATTTTTTTTTCCTTTCTTTCCGTGCAGACAGTGATAATCGACTTCCAAATGGTCTTCCTCGCTTTCTCGACGCGAGGTCACGTGGTACGGTCTTATTTAATGGAAGGATTTACAAGCTGCCCGAAAGAAATTATATAATTATATAAAGGTTTCGATATCTTTTTAATTAAGTGGATCTAAATTGCGTAATTTTCCAAGATGTTAGAACAATATGTTAACAATAAAAAATCCTAATTAATTATATGAAATTTAAATTTAGTAATTTACCAGTAATCTACCAGAATGTATGCCTTTAATTCTCTATTGATCATATATATATACCTTGCCACGAACTTCTATCTGATCTTGAGATTCCAGTAGTTTTTATTCTAGTGCTGAGAGTTCTGCTCTCATTGACCTCTCCACATTTGTAACACTTTGCTGCCTTCTAACATAGTCCTTAACCCTGTTTAAAAAAAAATAACCTTAGCTTTACAAGAACATTTCATTTTGTACAATGTTTTATGCATAGTGCATAATTTTTCTCCTTTCCACATTTCAATATTCGATAAAAATAATAAACCTTGACCTTATATTTCTATAAAATTATAAACCAGAAGTAAAGTTGTACATACCTGATGCCCTCTATTTCACCAGATCGACGTTTGTTATACAGCAACAATCTAGCCTGAGAGACTTCTGCAGCAAATCTGAAGTTCTGTGGTGTTGTGTCCTTTTCATCAAAGTTTTTGATGTCATTACGAATCTTTTCTTGAATCTTAATAATGTCCTCTGGCTCAGGGAGACATTTTTCCTTGTTGAAGCTACGAATCTGAAGTTTGACTATTGCTAGTTTTGTAACTTTTGTGGACCATTCAAACTTCATTAACTTCAGGAATGACTTACTGTCATTGGCTGCCTGCTCATCTTTACTTTTGATCCCCTCCGCCCTCAACATTCGTTTAATTTCATATCCAAGCCTAATGGCTGTTGATGGAGCTTGCAAATCTTCCTCCAATCAAATCCAGGCGAGACTGTTATCAATGCACCCTTAGTCACATTATCAAAATGTTCAGGTCGAAGCAAATCCGACATGGATAAATTCGAATTCAGCAACTCTCGTGTATTCGCTAATAGTCGGGCTGCTTCCCTCATCCTGGATGAAGTGTAATACTTCCTCTTTAATTTATTCCCAATGTTTCTTGATAGCCAAATATTCCCGAGACATATGATGGGTGGATCTGTTTGAGCAATTTTTGATAAAATGTCATTTGTCATAATGGGAAAGACTTCATTTATCAAACCTTTGCTGGCTTTGTTCTGCAACCTTCCACTGAGGTACATACTCTGAACACGTAACTCTCACTTACTACTAGTTCTATCGTCGATTTTTGCTGGGTAGATCTTCTGGTGCTTATACATTGTGATATCAAGCTTTAGCCATTGTAGGCATCCTGGTCACGGTCCATTGTCCTCAAGTTTTATTTGTTTATGTTGTCTTCTTCCCAAAATTAACTCCCCTTTTCCTTCTGTTACAACTTGTTCATTGTGGCTGTTGTCACCCCTGTTTCGAAGAATGTCCCAAAGAATCTGTTTATTCTTTCTCGTTCCTGTGCACTCCATTATTTCTCTTACTTGCAGTTCATTTTTGTGAACCTGTTTCATGTGTTTAGAGATATTGGTGACAACAGTTCTTGCAGTAAGCACACGCATGTACTTGATCATAAATGTTTGTTTTCGAAAGTTCTCTAACAAAGATGTCTAAATCATTCCTTCACATTGGTCCTCTTCAGATGACCCGTCCGACTTCTCCTTTTCTCCTTTGTTGACATTGTTTACAAAATAGGAGTCAAGTGTTTCTTCATCTATAATTGACTCAGTCCCTTTTTGAACTTTCAAAAGTGGATAAACATCACTCATCTCACCTCCTGAAGTCAAACTGTCACTGATAACTTCCTTAATTTTTCTTTGCAACCACTTGGGAATTTTTTCTTTTTCTTTTCTTGCTTGTTTCCTTACAGTCTGCAGTTCCCCTGGAAAGTTGCACATCCTGAGAATCGTTACATAAGTTTTCTTTCTGGGTAGATGTCATGATTTGTTTTTTTCTGCTTTTTGTTGGGAATCAACACATATGAATCATTATGATCTACTAATGGGACATAAGGGTCTTTAGGACTGTTGCATGGTTGCTTGTCCTCAAATACATCATTGTTTAAATTTTGCTTCTGTTTTACTGTCCGGGATCTTTTTCTATTTCTCTTTTTTAGGATCGAATTTTTGTGAGAATTGTCTATCATAATCATCATGTTCATCTTCACATGGGATGTACAAAGGGTCATCAGATAAAGAGCTGCGAGCTTATATCATCAAGCGCTAGTATTGAATTCAGAATTTCCAAATCCTTCTTGTTTAGCTCTTCAATGACAAATGAATTTTCAACATCTTGTCCCACAGTACTTGTAGCCAGCTCATTAAAAAAGATGTTAGAACTTTACAAGTCTTGTCACTGGACACTGTCTGTTCACCACCATCTTCTCTACAAGTCTTGTCACTGGACATCGTCCATTTACCACCATCTTCTCTACAAGTCTTGTCACCGGACACTGTCCGTTTACTGTCTGTTTACCACCATCTTCTATACGAATCCTGTCACCGGACACCGTCTGTTTACCCCCATCTTCTATACGAATCTTGTCACCGGACACTGTCCGTTTACTACAATCTTCTCTTCAAGTCTTGTCACTGGACACAGTCCGTTTACCCCCATCTTCTATACGAATCTTGTCACTGGACACTCTCTGTTCACCACCATCTTCTATACGAATCTTGTCACCGGACACCGTCTGTTTACCCCCATCTTCTATACTAATCTTGTCACCGGACACTGTCCGTTTACTACCATCTTCTCTTCAAGTCTTGTCACTGGACACAGTCCGTTTACCACCATCTTCTTTACGAGTTTTGTCACTGAAGAATGTCCCTTTACCACCATCTTCTTTCAGAATCTTGTCACCGGACACTGTCCCTTTACCACCATCTTCTTTACAAGTCTTGTCACCGGACACTGTCCGTTTACCCCCATCTTCTTTACAAGTCTTGTCGCCGGACACTCTCTGTTCACCACCATCTTCTCTACAAGTCTTTTCACAGGACACTGTCCGTTTACCACCATCTTCTCTGCAAGTCTTGTCACCGGACACTCCGTTTACCCCCATCTTCTAAACGATCTTGTCACTGGACACTGTCCATTTACCACAATCTTCTCTACACGTCTTGTCACCGGACACTGTCGGTTTACCACCATCTTTTCTACAAGTCTTGTCATCAGACACTCTCTGTTCACAACCATCTTCTCTACAAGTCTTGTCACCGGACACTCCGTTTACCCCCATCTTCTATACGAATCTTGTCACTGGACACTGTCCATTTACAACCATCTTCTCTACACGTCTTGTCACCGGACACTGTCCCTTTACCACCATCTTCTTTACAAGTCTTGTCACCGGACACTGTCCGTTTACCACCATCTTCTTTACAAGTCTTGTCACCGGACACTCTCTGTTCACCTCCATCTTCTCTACACGTCTTGTCACCGGACACTGTCGGTTTACCACCATCTTCTCTACAAGTCTTTTCACAGGACACTGTCCGTTTACCACCATCTTCTCTGCAAGTCTTGTCACCGGACACTCCGTTTACCCCCATCTTCTAAACGAATCTTGTCACTGGACACTGTCCATTTACCACAATCTTCTCTACACGTCTTGTCACCGGACACTGTCGGTTTACCACCATCTTCTTTACAAGTCTTGTCATCAGACACTCTCTGTTCACAACCATCTTCAATACAAGTCTTGTCACCGGACACTGTGCGTTTACCACCATCTTCATAACAAGTCTTTTCAGCGGACACTGTCCGTTTACCACCATCTTCTCTACACGTCTTGTCACCGGACACTGTCCGTTTACCACCATCTTCTATACGAATCTTGTAACCGGACACTGTCTGTTTACCCCTATCTTCTATACGAATCTTGTCACCGGACACTGTCCGTTTACCACCATCTTCTCTACACGTCTTGTCACCGGACACTGTCCGTTTACCACCATCTTCTATACGAATCTTGTCACCGGACACTGTCTGTTTACCCCCATCTTCTATACGAATCTTGTCACCGAACACTGTCCATTTACCACCATCTTCTCTACACGTCTTGTCACCGGACACTGTCGGTTTACCACCATCTTCTCTACAAGTCTTGTCACCGGACACTCCGTTTACCCCCATCTTCTATACGAATCTTGTCACCAGACACTGTCCGTTTACCACCATCTTCTGTACGAGTTTTGTCACTAAAGAATGTCCCTTTACCACCATCTTCTTTCAGAATCTTGTCACCGGACACTCTCTGTTCACCACCATCTTCTCTACACGTCTTGTCACCGGACACTGTCCGTTTACCACCATCTTCTTTACAAGTCTTGTCACCGGACACTCTCTGTTCACCACCATCTTCTCTACACGTCTTGTCACCGGACACTGTCGGTTTACCACCATCTTCTCTACAAGTCTTTTCACCGGACACTGTCCGTTTACCACCATCTTCTCTACAAGTCTTGTCACCGGACACTCCGTTTACCCCCATCTTCTAAACGATCTTGTCACTGGACACTGTCCATTTACCACAATCCTTTAGTTCCACAGCACCCCCAAAATCTTCACAACAACTTCGCGTCCGTAAACCAGTTCAAACGGTGCAGAATCCTACACTTTCCTGTGGCGCATCACGGTAAGCAAACAATGAGGCTGATAAGATACTTATCCCAATCAGTTAGGACGTTCCGCACATAACCGTCGGAGTATCTGTTTCAATGTACCGTTGAACCGCTCGACCAGTCCATTGCACATGGGGTGGTACGGTGTCGTTGTTAACTGTCGTATAGAAAGTAAACGACTAACTTCTGTCATCAGCTCGGATGTAAATTGTGACCCCATATCCGTGAGCATTTCCTTCGGTACTCCTACTCTACAAAATACATCTACCAGAGCCTCAGCGACTCGTTCAGTGTCAATTCCTTTTAAGCAATTGCCTCTGGGTAACGGGTAGCGAAACTAATAATCGTCAAAATGTAACGATTACCCTTACTGTTGCTGGCTGGATAGGTCCTACCAAATCGACAGCTACACGTCTGAAACGGTACCTCAATAATAGGCATATCTCCGAGTGGTACCTTTGTAGTCCTGCCTTTCGGAGTAGTACGTTGACAAATGTCGCATGATCTGCAGAATCGACGTACGTCCGCTTGAACTCCCGGCCAATAAAATTCTGCAAGGACTTTGCTGGCTGTCCTGGAAGTACCTAGGTGACCTGTCATAATAGATTCATGAGCAAGCGAAAGAACTTTAGTCCTATATTTCTTTGGAACAACTAGCTGTGTAAAACGTTTGCCATTCTGATGTTTATCTGACTGGAAGACACGATAAATGATACCTTTTTTACTAATGTAAGATACCTTGGAGTCGTCGTCTTGTCCTACCAAAGAGCGTATCTTGGCTAACGTCTCGTCTTTCTCCTGTGCTGCCTTGATGTCGTCAGGACATATCTCAGCGTCAATAATATCTGGAACATGAAGAGATTTTGTCTTCTTACCTTCCTTTTGAGCTTGTTGCCTTGTCACTACTGCATGCGCTTGATAAGGTGTCCAGTTTCTATCCGGATCCTTTGGATCTCTTGCGTTGGGGATGTTCCCTATGATCAAGGAATACAATGGATTTTCTAAACACCAAGCGTCTATTTCACCCACAAAGTAAGGAGTGTCTATTTTCACTCGCGCAACAGGTGCCTGAATCCTAGATCCATCCGCCAGAACACAAATTCGATGATTTCCCGTAAGCTGAACATCATCTATCAAATCCCTACGAACTACAACACCGTTACAACCAGTGTCTCTAAGCACTGTCACAAAATGTTCATTTAACTTGCCCTTACAGGTAGGCATATCTTCAAGAGATGCACTAACGTTACACGATGAAGTGTTTACAAGGTCCATTGAATTTGACGCCATCGAAAATGTTGATGTGTTTGTAAAGGAAGTAAAAGTTCCACACTTGCCTTGTAATTCTGAGTTCTTTGTCGTAGATTCCTTTTCTGTACGATCGACGACAACATTCAATTAGTTCCGGTTCTTCTGAGTCTGGTGGCACTGAGATGCTATGTGGCCCAGTCTGTCACACTTGAAGCAACGAACTTCTTTCTTTATTGGAGTTTTCATGGGTTGAAACTTCAATCCTGGTTTCTGATCTCGCTGTTCCTGTTCTCTCGATGCCTGACTTTTTCCTGGAGAGTTCTCTTTCTTGCTAAAATGAACTAATGTCTGAATGTTAACATGCCTTGCCTCTCTAAACTGATCTGCTAAATCACACATTTCTCTGATGTTTTTCGGTATGCGTTCTTTCAAAAACAATGTCAATTCTTTGTTACACATGAACAGAAACTGATCTCTGAGTATCATATCGTAGAGGCCATCAAAAGTCTTGTTAACTCGACCAAGTTCAATCCACCTATCGAGATAACTACCGAGACGAACAACAAACTGTGAAAAAGTTTCCCCTACCTCAGGTCTGCTCTTACGGAACTTTTGACGAAATCCATCCTCCGTCTTTTCAAACCTTTTTAGTAACGCCGTCTTCAAAGCATCATAGTCCAACGCTTTCTCCTGCGGCAACAGTGCATATACATCCAGTGCACGACCTCTGAGTAGTGCGCTCAAGTTAACAGCCCAACTGTCAAACTTCCATTTCTGTGCTGCAGCGTACCTTTCAAAACGTCTCAAATAAGAATCGATATCATCCTTAACTTCATCGAATACAGGCATTTTTGGAAACTTTGCATTACTAGGATTTTCTGATTTCGTTTCTGACTCCTTTACAGCTAACTTTTGCTCTAAGGTTTGAATAGTTTGCATGAATTTACTCTCAATCTCTTCCATACCTTTCTTTTCCTGTAGTTTGAGTTTCTCAATTTCAAGTGCTTCTCTACTGAGATGATACTCCCTGTCCTGCTTCTCTTTCTCCCTTTCCGCCGCTCGTAGCTCACGCTGATGTGCCTGTTGTTGCTGTATAAACTGCTGCAAGTCCGCACCAGTCAAGTTCAGACTCTGTCCATATTCTGCAAGTTCTTTCAATGTCGACATTGTAATAGAACTTAACACTAACTGACTAAATATGAAAAATATTACTACAATCCAGTAGAACAACATTGATTTTCAAAACAAAATGAAATGTGAAAAATCTTTCTCAAAAATGTGTATACTAGTATCTCAACAGATAAATTAAGTATACAAACTCAATTCATACGAAACAAAGCAACGGTAACCTAGCTTTCTCCATTTGGGGCTCCATCAATAAACCAAGTACTCACACCCTGAGACTGTCAAAAATCTACAAACTCTTTGACTGCAAAATACAACAAAAATGATTAAAGAAAAAAAAACATAAGTGTAATATACAAAAATACTCCTGACTGAACAGACTAATCCCACTTCTGACACCAATTTGTCACGACAGCCGTCGTGCTCTGTCCAGTCAGATATAACAAATTTTTTTTTTCTATTTACAATTTTTTTATCTATAAATAAAATCAATAAAAACAATATTTACAACATATTTTTACAGCTATTATTTACAATACACAGAAATTAAAGTCTCTATTAATCCTCAATATCGTTGACTCTAAACCACGTCTATCCAGACACGACCCGTTTCACGACGGACTCCCGCCAACTGGCTCCCAGTGGGTATCCCGGTCTGGTAAGTTCATTGCCAACACACACATGGATAGATTAACATTGGATAACATCAGGAACCTTTGAATTAAATAACATTTTTTTAAGTCACAAGCCACGTATACAAAAGGAAAACTCAAGTCACCATTGACTACAATTGCACTAATGGCACACCATACAATCAGTCCCGGTAATTTTAACCGAACACTATTATAATAAGAAAAACGTTAAGAATACACAACATCTTAACAAAAGTGGTTTTAACTATTAAACCCACAACACCGACTTTATAAGCGGCAAAACAAAATAGCCTACGTGCGTATATAACTCAGTACATTGCACAAAAATAGAACAATAAACGCATGAGTAACTCTACCCAGCAAAACCTGTATACGTAAATAGTAACAAAAACATTAATTAACTCAAGTTCTTAAATAGTTCTACGTTTTAAATGTATTACTCAAAAACTTACATATAAAATAAAAAACAAACTTACCCCTTTGGAGAAATGGTTACCGTTGAAAGAAAAAATTTAGCCACTCATCTTGGACTGTATGTCAACCATTTAAAAGCTATGAAAACGTGGACCCTGGTTACCTGGTCAGCTATGCAGCGATTTGAATACCCCAAAATACAATAGGTCGTAACTGACCAATACCTGCAAAACTTAACTGAGGTTCAATAAGGTAACAAAAGTATAGAGGTCCAGTAAAGGGTAAATAAAATAAAAACCATAAACATAATGTAAATGCAATTAAAATTAAATATTGATTGTGACAATCTGTTTATAAGTGATACCAGGCGGAGTCGAACCCCTGACTTTAAAAAGAAAGTATATATGGTGCAATACTGAATTCAATATAACTATAAGCACACAAGTAGAATACACTACGATAAAACATTCTGTATATCGGTTTTGGATTGCGATGAACGGTGTAGCCGTGATTACTAAAAATAGAAATTTCTTTAAAGCGGCACAGTGACGCACAAAGGGGAAAATTGACAAATGTAGAATTTTCGCATGACCTCTGTAAATTTTGTTCAATTCCTAAAAGTATTCAGTTTCACAAAATTACAGATTTCAGAACCTAAAAATTATATTTTTATGGGGGAAAATAAAAGTAAAAATAATTTCTGTATGCCCCAGAACGAAAATATTGCAAAATACCCTGGTACTTCTTCCTCCCTATTGTACGCGTGCGCAGAAAAGTGTTGAATAAGTTTCCATAGTTACCATGATCTCAGGTATCCACGAATGAATGTAAGAAGACCAAAAAAATTGATTTAATCTTTTAAAAAAGTTGTTAACATATTTCTCAGGAAACCACCTTTGCATGCTCCAGTTGAATGTTGTTTACAAGTTTGAGCTAAAAATAAGAGTTGTGTAACCTTGACATATACGAAACAACGAAACGGTAGATACAACCTTTGTTTTTCCGGTACTTATATTGTGCAGTCAATTCTTGAAGTTTAATTGTCATATCTTCGCTATATACTCATAATTTTCATAAGTCTTTCTCTGTATGCTACAGATATCTTAAAATTAAGATATGATTTTGACTCACTGTGCCGCTTTAAAATACTTTAAAATTGCTACTCCTCCTACAGTTTTGGTCTGAATTCAATATAACTTGGCACACAAGTAGAATACACTAAGATACATAATTCTGTGTATCGGTTTTTGATTTCGATGAGCGGTGTTGCCGTGGTTGCTAAAAATAGAATTTTTTTGAAATACATTTATAATACAACCTCCTACAGTTTTGGTCTGATTTTGATATAACTTGGCACACAAGCAAACTACATTGAGATACATAATTATCAGTTTTGTGTTTTTGATTTTGATGATTTATGTTACCATAGTAATTTAAATTGAAAATTCTATGAAATTTTATTAAAAGCTACTCCTACAGTTGTAGTCTTAATGCAATCTTGCCTCAAAAAGAGACTTAATCTAGGATCATTATTCTATTTATTGCTTTTGTAAAGTTTTAAGTCTTTACTGCTACTTTTCTCGTTCTTTATCATAAGTACAAACCAATGGAGCTACAGTCTCGACAGAGACTTCTTGTTTTCTTTTTTTTTATAGAGATACAACTCTGAAAATGTAGATGTTTTTTCTCCCCTTAGTCGAACAATTCTATTTGTTTTTTGTCACGAATACAGGGATAGACCATTTACGGAGACAGTCGAGCGTCTGGTTAAACGAGACTAGCTATTATGTTCTCCTTCGTTTCACTTATCCAAACATATAATATTTCTATTCTAAGTATCTTAGCGAATAAACAACAGAACACAGATATAGAATGTGATGAGCATCTATATCAACCAGTTTATTTGCAATATGTACAATAGCACGCAAAATTATCAGAGATGCACTGGAAACAAACTCCAAGAAGTGTGTAATTAGTTAACATTTACATTTAATTTTTGCCCCCCCCCCCTCATATCATATAATTTTTTACACAAAAGCATTTAAAGTAAAAAAAAAAAATTAAGGTATACCAATTAATGATTATAAAAGTATTTCTAAATGATAGAAAAATATACCCAAGTATTTAGTTCAATTTTACATGGATTCAGACTTTTGGAGGGTCTTAATTAACTAATTGTTTCATGTCTTAGGTTAAAAATTTTCATCATTCATTAGAATATACTAGATTTCTTTAGACATATATTCTTACTAAATATTCTTAAATTCATTCATTTGATAAATTTACTAGCTCTAAAATAATAATGAGAACTTTATTGTGTTTTTATATTTTTTATTTAAAAAAATCTATTATGTACCCTTTTTAGAACTCTCTAGATGGGAAGGTATTTAATTACTCAAAATTTTGTAAACATCATTATCATGATGGGTGGAAACTGTCATGTAAAATGTGTTATAAATAGTTTGAAAATGTGTTCTTACTCTGATGTTGGACGTAGAAAAGGAGTCACAAGATATCTGCTACAAGCATAGCCACTGTCTCCAAGTAGAACACCGTCAATATCCAAGCCCCTGTGATGTGCTTCAAGGTAGGCCCCGATATTAGATTCTCGTAATATGAATGAATCGTGATTGGAGCCAGGCCATTTTGCAACAAATGTTAGTGAATTTGCCTGTAGGAGATTTTATTTTCAAAATGTAAGGCATAAATTTAAGGGAAAGAAAAAAATATTAGTCGCAATCTACTCAAATTAACAACTTGATATGAAAAAAAATCCGAATGTATTCGAGTACAAACTTTAACTTATAAAATTAATTGAAACAGGACCTTTGGCATGCACTCTTTAATTGGTTGGGCAATATTGAAGTTTTTGATCTACTTTAACATTCAAAGGATTATTTGTTTTTCTTTAAAGAATACTTGCCTTCATGATTGCATATAGCCTGGGTGTTGATCGAGTGATACCCCTTACGGTTGACATAAGCAGGTTCATAGTCAAAAGCAATGACATGCGTGCCGTCCACAGCACCAACTACAGAAATCCAGCAATTGAATAAAAACCTTTCTTAATTATCACCTTCTCATTTAGGGATGGCCACTTAATAAACTGTGATGATATGTTCAGTAGCGCCTGTGATACATCTCGGACACTCTCGGATACACTTGATTTATGAAAACCAATTTCATGGTTTCCATATTATTGTAGCGTAATACCGCAGAGCCATTTCTACCTGACTGAGGGCTGAAAGGGAATTGACCTCATGGTTGGGCGACATAACTCTGGTCCAATCAAAATCAAAAACCTGTACAAAACTCAGATGCATCAAAATCATGATGAAAATGTCTAAAAACTCTCTGTTTCCTCTGTGTCTGCCAAAATTATATCAACAACAATCTAGAAGCCAGGATTAGGTTAAGAGACTTAACCCACCTCTGTGGAATGGCTAACTTTAGCCAATATTTAACCACTGGATAGCAAAGTTAACCAGTGGATAAATTTTAGCAACAGAATTTAACCAATGGTTAAAAGTTAACCACTGGATAAGAGATTTAACCAGTGGTTAACCTTAACCAGAGTTTTGAGCAACTCAATCCTGCAGGACGTCATAAACCTACGTGAATACTGTTATTAAACAATTCAGTTGGTTAGGTTTCTGAAGATAGTGATTGTCTTTTAAAATAAATATCTCCGCAATATTTTGGTTACAAAACTATTTTAGATCTATATATTGGTAACTAAAAAAAAATAAATGTTACTATAAGCACGATTTTAAAAAATTCCACATACATTACTAGCTATGTTTTGACGTTGTCTGAGTTGCACCGACAGCTAATTTATTTGATTCGGTTTCCTGAGTTGAAAAAAAATTGATAGAGATATTTTGTTGAAATAATAAGGCATTTTTCAAAAGATATTGATTATATTATTTATGCCATTTTTAGTCTTAGTGAAAAATATATATATTGACAGATTTTTGCGTTTTGCTGGAAACTTGGATGTGTAGATATGAAATATCAACAATTCTAAATAATATGAATTATCCCCCTTCTTTTTCTACCATATGAAAAAGTACTATTAGAATTCAGTCGGAGTATTCAGTTGTTGATGGTCAACTGACCGTCAATTGACCATTAGTTGAATTTTTTCCATTCAAATGAGAGAACAACTCATTTTATCAATCTATTGAATGCTCCTTTATATTCTTTGCAGTTGACCGCTAGTTGAATACTCTTCTTTTTCCTTTGCAGTTGACCGCTAGTTGAATACTCCTCTATTTCCTTTACAGTTGGCCGCTAGTTAAATACTCCTCTATTTCCTTTGCAGTTGATCGTTAGTTGAATACTCCTCTATATATTTCCTTTGCAGTTGACCGCTAGTTGAATACTCCATTAGTCAGTGCACGTAGGTTGCATACATTATTCGAAAAAAATGGAGGGAGAATTGAAAATGAAGACAGGCAGCGTTCTTGAAAAAATATAAAAAGTCAAAACAATTGAGGTTCTTAATTGAAATAAATGTTTATTTAAATCTAAATAATTTATAAATAAATTGAGCTGACACACTCTCATAGGTTGCTACATGCTCTCTTCATTTTCTCTACAGAAAGTTTATATATATAATTAGTCTAAAGCAATGGCATATTTTTACCAACACAACAAGAAACAAAACAAAACACTCGATGCATGACAAAATTTCATAATATTTAAAAAAGTACACAATTGGGACCTATTTTCTTTTTTTGGCTACAGTTATCCTAGTATCTGTTTAAAAGATAACAACTTAGAAAAACAACTACTGTAAATCACTTTTTATTCGCGAGAACTTTATTTTCGCGTAATTACGCAGGACAATGTACTCGCGAAAATTAAATTCTCGCGTATAATAGTATTCCTTCAGAACATATAGAGCAACGACCACAGTTCGCAAAAATCAAGAGTCAATGACTATCTCGCGAAAATAAGGTGTCGCAAAAATTTAGTGAACTACAGTAATTAAATTTCATATTTACAATAGAACATGAGATATTTCACACCCTGAATCATTACGAAGACAATAATGTTTCAAAATAAATTTTCCACCTTACTAAATAACACACATGTACTGATTCAAATCTTGGTTGTTGTAATTATG